GCTCAGTGGGACTTTGTTCCAGTGCACCGATAGTGTTGTTAGGAATGGTGATAGCAATTACTCACATTTCTAGAGTGATAAAAGCTACCCTCTGCAGAGCTCAGTGCACATGGTGCTTCCACAAGGTGGGGTGGGGGGAAGGCAGCCGGTCATCGCCGACATAGAGATGAGGAAAGGAGCCTGGGAGAGCCCCAATCCTTTGGCCCAAGGTCCCACAGCAGCTAAGGCAGGATCCGATTCCGGGTCTTACTGACTCCAGGTCCGGCATTCTAGCACCCAGCCATCTAGCCGGCTCTGGACGCTTGAAAGATGCATCGTTAGGGAGGGTAGCACAAAGGTTATTATACCCCTTTTACAGAGAGGGAAACTGAGACTCAGTGAGGGGAGCTAGCCCTCTTGAGGTAAGGATCGGGCAAAGCCAGGTCACGGGCTCCCAAGGGCTTTGGCCACTACCCTCCCATCAGATGACCACCAAGCTTTCTGACCTTGTGGAGGAAAATCCCTGGGTTCGAAAGCTGGGGAGCTGGGCTCTGTGTTACTTTGGCCCAGTCCCTCCTCCCTGGGCCTCCTAATGGGGTCGGGCTCTGGGGTCCCATTTACCTCCGACGTTTCACAACCAGAGGATCCCAGGGCAAGGCCCGTCTCTGCTGGTTCTTGGGCCCGTGGGGGGCTGGAAACTCGGCGGGTGCTTCCTGAACCAACCTGTCTGACGCCCGCCCTCTCCAGGCAGACCCGGTACGCCTCACGCAGCTCTATGAACAGGCCCGCTGGGACCTGCTGCTGGAGGAGATCGATTGCACAGAGGAGGAGATGATGGTCTTTGCGGCACTGCAGGTAGGGGCCTCTGCTTCCTCTGCTGTCGGTGAGACCCCCAGCTTCAGTGCCTTCTCCTCCGAGAAGTCTGCCCTGATTGCTCCTGGTGAGGCCCCGTGCAGACCCACCATGGCACTTTCCACGCTTCTCTGGCAATGTTGTTGATTTTTAGTGGCAGGGCCGAAGCCCCCTTCTAGATGGCAGGAGAGAAGGCAAAAGGGGCTATGGAGGTCAGGTGGGATGAGATTGGGGCTCTTGGGAGGTGGTAGGGGTGGAGTGAGCCCTGGACTTGGGGTCAGGACTCCTGGTTTGACACTATAGATTGCCAGACTTGCTTCCGGGGGGACCTTGGACAGGTACCTTCCTGGCCTCCTTTGGAAGATCAGGGCAATGGATTCAGTGATCCTGAGGGTTCCTTCTGCCTTGTCTGTGATCTGTGAGCTGCACCGGGCAGCCGGACCTCAGGAAGCCATCGGCAAAGGCTGGTGGGGGGGGTGGAGCAGGGCTCCCCCAGACCTCACTGCCTGCCCCCCAGTACCACACTGGAGGGAGAATGGAGCAGGGCTCCCCCAGACCTCACTACCTGCCCCCCAGTACCACACTGGAGGGAGAATGGAGCAGGGATCCCCCAGACCTCATTGTCTGCCCCCCACCCAGTACCACATTAACAAGCTGGCCCTGAGCGGGGAGCAGGACGACGCCCCGGGTGGCAGTGGCCTGGATGATCTGGACGCTGCACTGAATAACCTGGAGGTGAAGCTGGCGGGCTCGGCCTCCACGGACGTGCTGGTGAGGAGGTGGGAGCAGGGGAGGCACCGGGCTGGGGCTGAGGTTCCAGGGCTTCTGGCCAGGTTTGCGTTAAATGTCCCCCTTGGCCCACAGGACAGCCTAACGGCCATCCCTGAGCTCAAGGACCATCTCCGCATCTTCCGGTGAGGCCCAGACCCCGGGGGAGGGAGGCCCCAGGCCCAGAGACGGGCACACCTGCATCCCAGGTGCGATCCCAGGTGGGCCCTGCCTCTCCCCACCCAGCCAAGGAGGGGATGGGACACTAGCATCCGGTCCCCAGACCCATCTCCCTCCCTGCCTCCTCCTCTCAGGCCCCGGAAGCTCACCCTGAAGGGATACCGCCAATACTGGGTTGTGTTTAAGGAGACCATGCTCTCCTATTACAAGAGCCAAGAGGAGGCCCCTGGAGACCCCATACAGCAGCTCCATCTTAAGGGTGAGCCAAGCCCATGGGCTGTGGTGCAAAGAGCAGGGGTGGGGGTGGTCTGTAACATCCAGCAGACAAGGATGTGCAGAATCACTGGAGGAGAGAGCATGGGGGTATCGGGTGGCCCCTGAGCTGGGCCCTGCAGGAAGGATCCTGAGGAGCACAGCGGAGAAGGGATGTTCTAGGCATGGGGCCCGGGCCGCGCAAGCCTCACATTTTGTATTTTGGCCTAAAGGCAAGGGGGAGAGACTGGGGGGGTTGTGGGGGTTGTGCCTCAGTTTCCTCAACTGCAAAATGGGAAAGATAACAGCACCTACCTCCCAGGGTCATCGTGAGGACCAAGTGAGATAGGATGTGTAGAGTACCTGGCAAATAGTAGGCGCTTAATAAATGCTTATTCCCTAACTTGCAAGGGATATTGAGATTGAGAGAGAGGAAGGAGTGGAGGATGATGCTGAGGTTTCTATCTTGGGCTTCCGAAATGAGAGAAGGGTCCTCAGCAGGAATAGGGAAGTCTGGAAGTGGCTGGAGTCAGAGGCTGTGGGCCCGAGTCCTGCACTCTCCGCTTACTCCTTATAGGAGAGCCGTCTCTGGGCTTCCTCAGACCCTTTGTTTAAAATGGAGGGGCTCGGCCATCTGTCCCTCAGGGGCCTGCCGGCTCTAACGCTACAGGCCTTCTCTTTCTCATGGCCTAATCTGCTCCCTACCACTCCGTGCTGCTCATCATCTCCCCTCCCCTCTCCTTTCCGGCCCAGGCTGTGAGGTGGTACCCGACGTCAACGTCTCCGGCCAGAAGTTCTGCATCAAACTTTTGGTACCTTCGCCGGAGGGCATGAGCGAGCTCTACCTGCGCTGCCAGGATGTGAGTAGGACAGACGGGGCTCGGGGTGATGCTAAGCGGGGAGTGGCGCGAGCCTGAGTTTCACCAGCCCGTCACCACCCCTGCTGTCCCCAGGAGCAGCAGTATGCCCAGTGGATGGCCGGCTGCCGCCTGGCCTCCAAGGGTCGCACCATGGCAGACAGCAGCTACCAGAGCGAGGTTCAGGGCATCCTGGCCTTCCTTAGCCTGCAGCGGACAGGGGGAGGTGGAGGCACCGGCCCCACCAACCCCCAGGGCCCTGAAGCCAGCGGGGAGGCGCTCAACCCCCACGGCCTCGTCGCCCCTCGATTCCAGCGGAAGCTAAAGGCCAAACAGGTACGTGCCCAGGGGAGTTGGGGGTCCAGTTCTGGAGAGAGGAGCCTGGCACACGGGGCGCAGCATGGGGAGCGAAGGGGAGAGGCAGGCAAAGGGCGGGTGGGGGGCCTGGGGAGTCTGAGAGAAGACATGCAAACCATCAGCAAGCACATGGAAAAATGACCCAAATCACTGAGAGAGATGCGGATCAGAGCCATGCTGCGGCTTCTTCGTCCACCCCTACATCTGTCCACAGTGACAGAGAAAGCGGAAAGAGTCGATGCCCGAGGCACACTCATGCATTGTTGGTGGAGCTGTGAATTGGCCCAGCAAGAAAAGTCCCCCAACTGTCAATTCCCCCCAACACCACCGTCCTACCCCTGGACCTTTGCCCAAGGCGGTGAAGGTCCCACATGTACCAACACGCTGCTAGCAACAGAGAAGCGTTAATGGCAAGAATGCTGGGTTTAGAGTCAGAAGGGGGCAGGGTGGCCCAATGGGTAGGGCCCTGGGCTTGGAGGCAGGAAAACCTGGGTTCGACTCCTACCTCAGAGGCTTACTAGCCAGGTCACCCGGGCCTCGGGCTCCTCATCTGTAAAACGAGGGGATCACCCTCTAAGGTTCCTCCCGGCTCTAAAGTCACTTTACCCCTTAACAGCTGACCCCCCGAATCCTGGAGGCACACCAGAATGTGGCCCAGCTCTCTCTGTCCGAGGCCAAGCTCCGATTCATCCAGGCCTGGCAGTCCCTGCCCGACTTTGGCATCTCCTACTTCGTCGTCAGGTACCTGGCCTACCCTCTAGCCGGTGGCTGCCTCTTCTCCAGAGGCTTTAAGTGGTCCCTGGGCCGAGGCTGCTCGGCCCCTGACGGTCTGCAAGTGCCTGGGGTGGGTTCAGAGTGGACGCTGGGTGCCCTCTCCAAGACCTGCAGCTCTCACTCTGGGTTCAGTGGCGTGCGCTCATCTAAAGGTACAGTTGGTGTGAGAAAAAGATCTGGGGGTCTCAGAGGCCCACAAGCTCAGTATGACTCAACAGTGGGGCTCTAGGAAAACTGAAGGGATCCCAGGGATTCTGAAGGGCAGGAAGCCAGTGTCGTCTGTTCTGATCGGTTCTGGGCACCACATTGTACCAAGCACTTGTCTACACTGGAGGATATCCAAAGGGGGTCACCTAGAATGAAGGGCCTTGAGATCACGCCCTAGAGATCAGCTAAAGGAACTTGGGTTCTTGACCTGGAAAAGACTTGGGGGGGGGGGCATATCCCAACTGTCTTCAAGTACCTGGTGGGGTTTAATATGTGGAGGAAGGGTCAGAGGGCAAAGCTAAGAACAAAGCGGGGGAACTGCAAAAGGCAAATTCGCACTCGGTGTGGGACATGGGGAACAGGAGATTTGCAACCAAGTTATCTGAAAGCGGCATGAGTGCCTGGGGAGGTAGTGAGCTCCCCATCCCTGGAGGTCTTCAAGCGGAGGCCAGACAACCGCTGGTCAAGGAGGCGATTCTTATTCTGATACAGGTCGGGCCAGATGCCACTGAGGTCCCCTCCAGCTCGGAGGTTCTCTCGAGTGACCTCCTCAGCCCCGTCACCCCTCCCCACTCCCAGGTTCAAGGGCAGCAGGCGGAATGAGATCCTGGGCATCGCCAACAACCGTCTGATCCGCATCGACCTGGCCGTGGGCGACGTCATAAAGACTTGGCGATTCAGTAACATGCGTCAGTGGAACGTCAACTGGGACATCCGCCAGGTGGGAAGAGGAAGAGGGCGGTGGCGGGGGGGAAGAGGGCAGGGGGATGGGAAAAGGCGGGGGGGGGGAGCGGGGCCGCCCTGAGCCCCAGCTCCGCGTTCTCTCTGCACCTGCTCACACGCGTGGTCCGGCCCGCAGGTGGCCATCGAGTTTGATGAGCACATCAACGTGGCCTTCAGCTGCGTGTCAGCCGGCTGCCGCGTCCTGCACGAGTACATCGGCGGCTACATCTTCCTGTCCACCCGGGAACGCGCCCGAGGCGAGGAGCTGGACGAGGATCTCTTCCTGCAGCTTACTGGGGGCCATGAAGCCTTCTGAGGCCCCCCGAGGGTCTCCTCCATCCCCCCGCTGTGCCCAAGCAAGGCCTGGCGCTCTCACAAAAGCTTCCCCTCACTCCGTCCCCCCGCCCCAAAGCACACACTGCTGTCATCACCCCTGGCGCCCACTTGGAGGGGGGCCCAGGCCTCGCCTCCTGTCTCCCTCCTCCCTGACAAAGCTCCCCACTTCCTTTGTGCAGGGAAAAGGGAGAGGCTGAGCAGGACGGCCTCCCCACCAGAGGCCGCTCAACCTGCCTGAGGCATCGGCTCTCCCCTGCTCTGGAGGTGAGCCAGGCAGGCTGAGGGGCCCCAGGACCCAACTGCCATCTGACCGCCACGCTCCAAGGCAATCTGGACTCAGGGCTGCAGAGACACTCGGGCACAATCACAAGAAGGAAATGTTTTCTTTATTAGTTTTTATTTGTCTTTTTATAAATAAATATTTCACAGTTGGATTCTCCGCATGCTCTTCCCTCAGTTGTTGGCCAAGGCACCCTGGTGACCACTCTGGCCCTCTGTCTCCTCTTCAGCCAGAGGAAGAGGCCTCCCTGAGGCAGAGAAAGGGTCGGGGTGAGGGAAGAGAGGAGGTGATGCCGAGGTGGGAGCAGGGAGAGAGAAGTGTGAGGCCAAGAGGCAACCGCCCACCCCTCAGAGCCTGACGAGGGACCAGGAGGTCCAGAGTGGAGGCTACTCACTTGGGGGGCCCAGCTGCAGGGCTTCTTTGAAGTACTTGGGGGGCAAGAAACCCCTGGCATCCCCCGGAGTCAAGATCACCCCATTGGCTGAGCGGAAGAACAGGACCCCCTCTGTGGGGAAGGGTCAGACTTCAGGCCGTCCTCTTCTGCCCCCTCCCCCGTCCCCTCCCGGCCAGACAGACTCACCAGCCAGGGCCAAGGGCCCGTTGATGAGCACGGCCACCTCACAGTCCTGCCGCATGCCTAAGGGACAGAGTCACGGGTGGTACCCAGGCACCACGGGATTCCCCCAACACTCCAGGGAGGGGCTGGGCGCGGGCTACTGACCACTAACGACGTGGGGTTCCCCAGGTAGGCCGGGGGACAGGTGGATGTGGGTCCTCCCGCGACGAGACAGACCCTCCTGCCGGATGGAGGGCCAGTGGCGCCGGTACGTTCCGTGGACCAGAACGGGGGGCAGGTGCTGGGGAGTCCTCAGGGGTGTCAGCTCCAGGTCAGCCACCTGCCAGGAAGAACAATGGGGGTCACTTCAGAATCTGGGGGTGCCTTCATTTCCCCAATAGAACTACCATCTTACAGCACTTCCCTCGAAACAGTCCTGGGAAATACACAGTATGGGGATTATTGCTACCACTGTACAGATAAGGAAACTGAGGCAGAGACTTTCCCAGCTCCATACAGCGAGGAAGTCTCTGAGCTGACACACAATCCGAGATCATAGATTTAGAGCCAGAGGGGCCTGACAGCCCCCTGAATCCCACCTCCAGCTTTTTCAGAGGAGGAAACTGAGGCACAGAGAGTTAGGCAAGTGCCCAGAGTCACACAACCATGAGAAACATCACCTTGGTGCCCCTGCCTCCAAGTCCAGAACGTACTGGGGGCAAAGTCCCGAGCTAGGCAGCGGGACGGCAGAGATGGAGAGGAAGCCCGCCTCTGCCCAGGCAGCTGCCCTTCTCCCGGGCAGATTCTGTCCGCCGCCCCTACTCTGTCCTGCCCCTTCGCTCCGTCTCCCCCCTGCCCCCGCCACTCCCCCTACACACACACACACCCCCACACCCACACACACCCCCACACACCACACACACACACACACCACACACACACACCCCCAAGGCTGGGCATCTACCTGCAGGGAGTGGCCCTGGTTGGCTCGGATGGAGACGCAGGAGCCAGGGGGCCCGGGGCGCAAGGCAAACCGCTGCTTTTCATTGGTTTCCACCACACGGCGCACATCCTCCAAGGAGAAGCCCCGGAACTGGGGCAGCTGGAGAAGGGCATCCAGGGGCACAAAGCCGTCTGCAAGGGAATGATCAAAGTCCCGCCTCTCACCTGGCTGGGATCACAATCAGCATTTATTAAGCACCTATGGGCACGCAGAAGGCGTTTAATGAATGCTCAGCTCTTCACCCCCCTTTCTGGGCTAACCCACCAGACCGTCACTGGCCAAGCAGGGGACAGGCTGGAGAAGCCAAGGAGTGGGTTTAGAGCAGGTCTAAGGTGATGCTCTGGTTCAGTGGTTAGACCCTAAGGAGTCAGCACAAACACACACACACACACACACACACACACACACACACACACACACACA